CTGCCCCTCCGGCCCCCAGCACCGAGCCTCCGCGGGCCGGGGGCCCACACACCAAAATGGGGGGCTCCAGGGACTCGCTTCTCGAGATGAGCACGTCGGGGGTAGGGAGACCTCAGAAGCAGGGGGCGGGGGCCTACTCCAAGTCCTACACCCTGGTGTAGGGGCCCGGCCGGGAGGGCAGCCCTGCGCTCGGACCTCCACGCCTCCAGCCCTCGCACACCAGCTCGCCTGGTTTCCTGCGTTATTTATATTCAACTGACAGACAAAACCGACAAGGAAGAGAAACCCCCAAGTCATGAACGCTTGTACATAGAACTCTTTTGTACAAATGAAACTATTTTCTTCTTCTCCATGAAGCCAGGGCACAAAGAATTTGACAGTACGAGTCAAATCCCCCACCACACACACAAAATACGTGCGGAGAGATATATACATATATAGACAGATAGGAACACATGGACAAGCTATGTATCTATATATTTCTCTCACCTTATTTTGAGACAGAGGCACAAAGACTCAGCAATTTTCCCCTCCTACTCACCCTCCCTCCAGTCTAGGTGGTTTTGACAAAGACCAAACTCCCAACTCAGAGACACTGCATGCGATTTTACTGTTCCAAGAAAACCAGGAGTTGCTTCAATTTGCAGATGCTTATGTGTTAATACCTTTTTCTATGAAAAAAGACCCAGCGCGGTGTGCAATAAAGGTTATGTTTCTACGTGGTGGCTTTTTTCCCATCTGGCAAGAGCCAGTGGGGAGGCAGGGAGGCGAGGCCCCTGTACCAGGCCGCCTGGCTCTCACGGAGAGACTTTGAGAAGCCCGGCTTTAGCTCAGCATGCTAAACTTTTTTAAAGGCTTTCCATTAGCTCAGGTGCCTCCTCGAGCACCTGCTCTGCTCTCAGATCTGCGCTGGGCCCTGCAGGAGGCCTGCGGTGTGGCTCTGTGCAAGCTTCTAAACCTCTCCAAGCCACAGTTTCCTTATCTGTAAGATGAAGCACCCTTGGCAAGAGCTCTGGGGGGCTTGTATGGGGTTGGGGGGTTGTGTCTACTGGCTTCTCTCCTTTGGGAGAGTGCAGCGTAGCCAGGGCAACAAAGCAGATCTACACTAGTGGGCAGTTAAGTTGTGTAAGTGGTGCCTCTAAACTGGGAAGGTGTGGGGAAGAGATCAAATTACCCTGGGGGTCCAGCCAGAGCCTGAAGTTCTGGGCTGTTAGGGCAAAAGGAAGAGTGAGGTCATTAGAGGTCAGAGAGGTGAGAAGGGCTCCTGGAGGAGGGGAATGGAGTTCAGCTGAGGATGATCAGGCCAGCGGGCCCACCAGGTACCTCACCTGGTGTGGGAGGAGCTGCAATTAGGTTCCGGGTTGAAAAAGCGCACCCACATGCAGATGCGCAGAGGAGCCGTTTCTGACGAGCGGGTCAGAGGGCACGTGAGCTGGGCCTCCTAGGATGTGAGGGTTTGCACAGGCAGAGGAGAGGGAAAGACCCAGGAGACTGTAGAAGTCAGAGGCGTGGAGTTCATGGTCTCCCTTCACCAAGGCCAGACCCCCTGCATGAAAAGAAAGTGCCCCTTGGAAGTACAAAGGGGGCTCCTGAGGTCAGCACCCCAAGTCAAGGCCGCGGTGTGGATCGGGAATTGGAAGGAAGGTGAGTCTGGGTCCTGCTGTTCCCCCAAAGCTGAGAGGAGGAGCTGGGGAGGATACCCAAAGGCTGGAGAGGGAGGAGGGGGCCGTTTGTGCAGGAGGTGGGTTGTACCTATCTGCCCAGGCTACAGTGAAGCCCTCCCTGGGGTGCATGACCTTGAATGGAAGCATTTCCCAAAAAGCAACTCAGTTTACAAACATTTCCTAAGCACCAGCGAGTGTGGACACGGAGCTCCTGCCCGTGGGTAACTATATTTAAGGGCAAGGGCTGTCGTCCCAGCACGAAAGAGGGGAGAGAGGGCAGAGGTTATGTGCGCCTGGGGAGCTCCACACCCAGGAACCACCCAGGAGAAGCAGCTAACAGCATTAGTGAGGAAAGTCCCTGCCCCTTGACTGCTGGTGACAGCCCAGCTTCCCCTCCATTGCTGGAGGACAGGTCTCCTCCCAAGGTTCCATGCGCCATCTGCAGGTCACCTCCCAAACTGCAGGCATAATGATCAAGCGTTGAGTTCTTCCCCGAACTTGGCTGAGCCCCTCCCCTCGACCCCCACCGCTGCAGGCTGGACATGGGGAAATAAACAGGAATAAAACCCAACTCCGACCAGCATGAGGGAATGAACAAATCCCCAGAGGCTAGAGTGGCATGGAGCCACTCTCCTCAGGGCTGCAAAGGGGAACTTTGTCATGAAAACACATCACTGAGCCAGCCCTATACTACACTCCGGGTGCTGAGTAAAAAATCGCTTTCCTCATTGAGGAGTGGTTGATGTAAACTCATTGCAGGTTTGGGAAGCAAGCATCATGATCTGCACCCAGCAGGTGAGAAAGCTAGAGCCCTAGAGAGTTGAGGAAGTTATCCAAGGTTAGAGGAGCAGGAAGAGACAGAACTGAGGTTCCATCTCAGGGGTGTCTGAATCCTTAAAACACTGAGCCGTACCGCCCCATGTTCTGCTTTTCAGAGGCTGAGTTTCAGTTCTACCCTAGGATGACGCTAGGTGTAGAATCCACAAGGACCAGGTGAGCCCGCTGGACTTGCAGGAAAGCAGCTGGTGTGGAATGTTAGTGAGCCGTTCAGGGAGGGACGCCAATACCACATGCTGGGCTGCATGGACTGGGAAGCTCTGATGTGCTGACTTTGATGAGGAGCAGTAATAGTAGGGGCAGGATTCAGCTCTAGGGGTCTGTGGGAGAAGGCCTGGGACCAGAGGTGGACCGCGTAGGAGGAGAAGGACTTGAAGCAGGAGTCAGTTTCACTTGTGTTCAGTTGAGCTGGCTTCCTCACTACGAAACACAAGTTCTGGGAATTCAGACAGACTTGTGCAAAATCCACACAGTGTTGTAAGCTGGTAATCTCTTACCTCGATGCGTTCTTTAGCTAAACCACAAGCCTGCCTGTTTGAACTGCACCCTGGAGAGTTCAAGGAGCTCTCCTCTAGAAGGGCTCCCAGAAACCATGCCCCTGCTCTCTCCCTTCTGCCAAAAGGCAGAGCTAGACCAGTGGGTCTCTTAGCTACACATCAGATTCACCTGAGAAGCTTAAAACAAAGAAGCCCAGATCTCACCAATCCCATTGACTCACAATTTGTAGGGGAGGGGAAGTCCTCAGCTCAGTGGTAGAGTGCGCGCTCAGCGTGCAAGCGGTCTTGGGCTCCACCCCCAGTACCTCCGCCAAAACAAACAAACTTAATTACTCCCCAACCGAAAAACAACAGAACGATCTGAGTGTGCAACCCAGGCAACTGTATTTTTTTCCATGGTAAAGATACACAACATAAAATTGACCATTTGAACCATTTTTATTGCATTAATATTTTATTGTTTCAAATAATAATATACTTGTTTATACAGGCAAATAAAAGTCTGGAAAGATGGTGGCCAACCTGTTAACACAGGCTGTACATGAAATGTAGGATTACAGGCATCACTGTTTTTCTATTTTGCATATACATATATATTCCTTAAATATTCTTCCAAGTATTTTTTTTTTAAATATGGTGAATTTTCATTTCTGATACTGTATTTTTCCCATCTGGAAGTTCAATTTTGGTGGTTTTTTATAATCTATTTCTCTTCATCGTGCTCCAATTTTTCCCTCCTGTCTGGGGCATACAAAGCACATGTAATATGGAATCCAATGTTCTAATCTGCTAATTCCATCATCTTTGCCCTTTCTGGGTCTGTTCCTGTTAATTGACTTTTCTGCTGGCTATATAGTTCATATTTTCCTTCTCTGCAAGTGTGGTAATTTTTTTAAAATGGATGCCAGTCGGTCATAACTTTATGATGTTAGGTCATTCAGAAAGCGTTGGATTTTATTCTCGTGAGCAATGAAGCTAGTTGAAATCAGCTGGATTCTTCTAAGTCTTGCTTTTGGAGTACCTCCACAGCAACTTACATCTAAAGCTAATTTAGGGAGGAAGGTATAGCTCAGTGGTAGAGTTCATGCCCAGCAGGCACAAGGTCCTAGGTTCAATCCCCAGTACCTCCATCAAAATAAATAAACCTAATTATCTCCCTCTGCAAAAAGAAAAAAAAGGCACTAATTTAGCCCCACTACTAAGACAATCACCTATCTATGGATACTACCAATATTTCCCATGTGATGAGGTCTTTCCACTTCAGCTGGGGAAACAAATCATTTCTAGCCCTGTATGAGGTCCAGGAATTCTTTTGACATGCTGTTTTCCATTAGTTCGCTTCCTGGCCGTAGGCATGTCTGTTCTCACCCAATGGCACATCAGTATCAACCACAGAGATGAGCACCCTCCCTGCAGGTCCACACGTGCTCTCCGCAGCTCCCTTCTCTCTGGTACCCTAGCCCACAAATTCCAGCGGCCTCGGCCTCTCAAACTGTAGTTTCTGTGCTACAGTCGGAAAACCAATTGCATGTAATAAACTGGGATGATCACAGGACTCATGGAATTTATTGCCTTTCTCTCAAGGTTCAAGTTTTGCATATCGTGTTACCCAAGCGTCTAAAAGCAAATGTTTCATATATTGTATAACCTTGTCTAGTTTAAGGCTTCTGCCAGGAGGGGACCTGTATAACAGCAAGGTTTAAAAAAATTTTTATTGAATTATAGTTGATTTACATTGTGTTAGTGTCTGGTGCTCAGCAAAGGGATTCAGATATATATACACATTCTTTTTCAGACTCTTTTCCATTATAGGTTATTACAAGATACTAAATATAGTTCCCTGTGCTATACAGTAGGTTCTTATTGTTTATTTTATATATAGTAGTATGTATCTGTTAATCCCAAACTCCTAATTTAGCCCTCTCCCCATTCCCCTTTGGTAACCATTGGTTTGTTTTCTATGTTTGTGGGTCTATTTCTGTTTGGTAAATAAGTTCATTTTATCATTTTTTAAATTCCACATATGTTACTGCAAATGGCATGATTCCATTCTTTTTATGGCTGAGTAATACTCCATTGGGTGTATACACCACACCTTCTTTATCCAGTCATCTGTCAAAGGGCATTTAGTTTGCTTCCATGTCTTAGCTATTGTAAACAGTGCTGCTATGAACATTGGGGTTCGTGTATCTTTTCAAAATAGAGTTTTCATCTTTTCCAGATATATGCCCAGGAGTAGGATTGCTGGATCATTCTACTTTTAGTTTTTTATGGGAACCTCCATACTGTTTTCCACAGTAGCTGCACCAATTTACATCCCCACCAACAGTGTAAGAGGGTTCCCTTTTCTCCACACCCTTTCCATGCATTTATTATTTGTAGACTTTTTAATGATGGACATTCTGACCAGTGTAAGGTGATACCTCACTGTAGTTTTGATTTGCAGTTGTCTTATAATTAGCGATGTTGAGCTTCTTTTCATGTACCTGGTGGCCATCTCTGTGTCTTCTTTGGAAAAATGTCTATTCAGGTTTTCTGCCCATTTTTTATTCAGATTGTTTGGGTTTTTTCTATTGAGTTGTATGAGTTCTCTCTATATTTTGGAATATTAACCCATTAACAGAGGTAAGATTTGCAAATATTTTCTCCCATTCAGTAGGTTGCCTTTTCATCTGTTAATGGTGCCTTTTCATTCTGTTAATGGTGTCCTTTGCTGTGCA